ATACTTACAAAGGTTTGTACTGTCTTTACTAAAGTAAGAGTTAAACAGTGAGGTCTATACTTACAAAGGGTTGTACTGTCTCTACTAAAGTAAGAGTTAAACAGTGAAATCTATACTTACAAAGGTTTGTACTGTCTCTACTAAAGTAAAAGTTAAACAGTGGAGTCTATACTTACAAAGGTTTGTACTGTCTTTACTAAAGTAAGAGTTAAACAGTGAAATCTATACTTACAAAGGTTTGTACTGTCTCTACTAAAGTAAAAGTTAAACAGTGGAGTCTATACTTACAAAGGTTTGTACTGTCTTTACTAAAGTAAGAGTTAAGTAGTGAGGTCTATAATTACAAAGGTTTATATTGTCTCTATTAAAGTAAGAGTTAAACAGTGAGGTCTATGCTTACAAAGGTTTGTACTGTCTTTACTAAAGTAAGAGTTAAGTAGTGAGGTCTATAATTACAAAGGTTTATATTGTCTCTACTAAAGTAAGAGTTAAACAGTGAGGTCTATGCCTACAAAGGTCTGTACTGTCTCTACTAAAGTAAGAGTAAAACAGTGAGCTCTGTACTTTCAAAAGTTTATACTGTCTCTGCTAAAGTAAAAGTTAAAAAGTGAGTTCTGTACTTACAAAGGTTTGTTCTGTCTCTACTAAAGTAAGAGTTAAACAATGAGTTCTGTACTTACAAAGGTTTGTACTGTCTCTAATAAAGTAAGAGTTAAACAGTGAGCTCTGTACTTACAAAGGTTTGTACTGTCTCTACTAAAGTGAGAGTTAAAGTGAACTCTGAACTTTCAAAATTCTGAACTGTCTCTACTAAAGTAAGAGTTAAACAATGAGTTCTGTACTTTCAAAAGTTTGTACTGTCTCTACTAAAGTAAGAGTTAAACAGTGAACTCTGTGCTTACAAAGGTTTGTACTGTCTCTATTAAAGTGAGAGTTAAACAGTTAGCTCTGTACTTTCAAAGTTTTGAACTCCGAGAGAGTTTGCACCTTTTAGATGGGTTGTGGAGTTATTAACGAAAATACTGGTTGACCATTGATCTATTTTTTATAAATTTATAACGACAAGAATATTAAATATGTAATATTTATCTTTTGATTTGTAAACGTTTAGGTAAAGTGCAGAAACATTATGTGAGATAAATTTGTTTCTTAAGCTAAAAATATGTTCCTTGAAGGTAATACATTTCTACTTTTGCTTGATTTATCCTCAGAAGGTAGCTTTATTTGTGAAATTCAAACACTAATATAAAAATTTAGTGATAATGATCATTGTAAAGCTGCTTATTGTCTTTCAACTTTTTATAAAACTGCACTTGTATATTTTGTTTCTAGATGGTCTTCAGGAACGTTGCTTCCATTGTGGCAAAACTTTTAATCTCTCTACCACTGTTTTTAATCTTGGATGTTGCCAAAATTGTTATCGGAAGAACAATGGGATTGCCTTAGTGAGAAAACAAGTGGAAGAAGAAAATGTTGAGACCAAGCACTCTCTGCCCACTGATCGTACCACTTACAGTGTACTCGCAAAGAAAGAAAAATCTCAATGTCCCCTTCTGTATGGGATTTTGGATCAGATGATGCTTAAGTATCATGAAGCAAAGCCCCAGCTCTCACCTTTCGAACTGTTAAAAGTGAACAATTTTCTAAACATTAGATCGTGATTAACCAGCATTTGATCAATTATTTTGTTTCGCTGAGCTCTTGTAAATAAATAAAATATCTAACATTCTGAGATTCTTGTAGCTGTGATCTCCAACAATTTGAATGATGTTGTCTTGCAGCAATATTCTTCATCAGCATTGGATGGCTTTTTAATAATGATCTCCGACATAGTCAGGAATCTCTTGTCATTATTTTCCTGGGATGATTCTTATATAAGAGTTCTTTGATATTGTTGGTGTCTCTTAAAGCGATGTTCTTCGATACTTTAAATGTGTTTTCTTTACGCACTTTCCAATAATTTTGGTAACTATTGTTTCATTGTTCTTCAAGATTTTGGGTACTATTTTTTTAGTGTTTTCTAATGCTTTAAGTGATTACTGTTTCTTTGTTCTTAAACACGGAAATTGAGTGTTGTTTTGCGATTTAGAACACTTTTGGCGACCATTGCTTTAGTCTTCTCTAACAATTTAGGTGACTAATGTTTATTTTGCACCGTCCATAATCTCCGATGAAAAGTTCCTGCATCAAAAGTAAAATAATTAATGTTTAAAATCATTAGATGTTATTTTATATTTTTCCCTATTCATTATTTTACGTTTAAAGCAAGTATACTTTGTGTAGAAAGAATTTGTTTGTTTTTCTGTAGTAAAATGTATAATGGTTTTGAAAACACAAACATTATTTAAACACTCTGGTGGAGTGAAATTTTGTTATTGCTCTAGTTTTTAAGATGATCTTCCTGAAAGACTTGAAAAATTACAGTTTTTTCTAATTCACAAAGTAATTGTTCAACGGAAATCTATCAAACATATGTTTCCTGTTCCTGTTATGTAATATTTCTACTAATGAGGGTTTCGATTTAGATTACCTGTTTATATAAAAGGAACAACATTTTGTCGTTCATTATAATTACACTTTTCTAGATGAGGCTACACAATAAATCCAGAGAAAACGAGTTTCAGATAACAACTTTTGAAGCAAACTCTAGAAAAAGATATTATTTTACCAAGATATTGAATATATTTTAAAACTGTGCTCAATCTAGTCAAGAACAAAATTTGCAAAATAAAGCTTTGGTACAAAAAAGTCAAGGAATCATCTCTGTATATAACTGGTTGTATTTGTGTTTGATTTTTGTTTTGTTGTTGTTTTAGCGCAAAGCTACACAATAGGTTATCTGCGCTATGTCCACCGTAGTGAATCAACCCCCGGATATTTGACGTTGTAAGTCCGTAAATGTACCACTGACCCACCGGGAGATTTGTGTTTGATCTGAAGTATAAATAAAACACTATTTAATGTCGTCCTTTCTCGTTCTTGCTTCATATATTTTGTTCATTTTTCAATGCCATAAGTGCTTATGCATATACTTATGAGACACTCTTACGTATGAAAGCGAAACGGAAATATAGGCAACCTTATTTGGAAAATGTAATCTAAGTGACCAGTACCCACCAGATATTTGTTTAATGCTTTTAAACCTGAATCAAGCATGAAATTAAATACAGACAGACAAACGGCAAATGAACCAACTATTCAGACCCAAATATCCTATTAAAGATAATATGAACTGATTAAAAAACTTAACATAAAACTATGAAACTATACAGCTCATGTGGAATATGAACTCACTTCTCAGGGTTAATAAAATATCCACCTGCCAGGTAACGTTTTAAAACTCCAGAATATTCCTATATTTAATACGATACATTATGCAGAAGCAGCTGTGTTTTCATCTTAAACGTTCGGATTTCCACAAAACGTATTAACAGAAAAATAATTTTAATTGTTCTTTAATTCGCATGTTGAAGTAAACTTTGAATCAACAGTTACTTTAAGTTGCAAAGATTACGATGACATCTGTAAAAAACAATACAGTCAAATGAAACAATAACATAGCGATAGCTGATAGTGAACATAAGAAAGCGGTTACAATAACCACCAAATAGTCTTGTGAAACAATGATACAGCGAAAGACGGCAGTGAACAATAAAAAATCGGTTACAATATTCATTAAATAAAATCATCTGAAACAATGACAAAATAAAATTGGTAATGAAGATTAGAAAACGTTTACAATATTCACCAAATAAAGCCATGTGAAACAATGACAAAATGAAAGTTGGAAGTGAAAAATAGAAAACGGTTACGATATTCAACAAATACAGTCATCTGAAACAATAACAAACCAAAAGCTGGAAATTAGAAAACGGCTATAGTTTTCACAAAATACAGTCATGTAAGCATTGTCAAAGCAAAAGATTGTAGTGAAGATTAGAAAATTGTTATAGTATTCACATAATACAGTCATCTGGAACAATAACAAACCGAAAGTTGGAAATTAGAAAATACAGTTATGTGAAACAATTACAAAATGAAATTTGGTAGCGAATATTAAGAAATGATTATAATGTTCACAAAATACAGTCATCTGGAACAATAACAAACCGAAAGTTGGAAATTAGAAAATACAGTTATATGAAATTTGGTAGCGAATATTAAGAAATGATTATAATGTTCACAAAATACAGTCATGTAAAGCAATGCCAAAGCAAAAGATGGTAGTGAACATTATACCAAGATCTCTATAACAAGAAACATATTTTTATTACCTATAGACTATTTCTTACTCGTGTTACGTATTAGAATTTCAATATAGTAGTTAAATAGTTGCCAATATATCTCCAATTTATGATATTTGCCAACAAGATTGATACACACAGTTTTCTTTTTTAATACAATTTTTTAATATATAAACAATAATACAAATGTGAGTTGATATAGGTATAATTCACTTATCAGGGAGCTAGCTAGCCTCGTAGTTCTCTCTGATCACACGCTGATTACAGGTCTAGTTTCCACCAATAACGTTAGGTAATGTTTTCGTAAAAGTACTAATGTCTGATGTGAATCCACTGAAGTTAAATGCTTTGTTATGTTCGAAATTTATAAACGTTCCTGGTCAATATATCTTAAGTTTCCCGATTAATAAGCGTTTTAACAATCACAGTTGTAGCTTCCGAAGTTTATAGCACACCAACTATAGCAAACCAATAATAGATAATGTTTTTAGGCGCGTCGCTTTGGTTATATTTATAGGCATGTGGAGAGTTTCTCGAAAATTCAGATAACGTAACGACACCAAGCTGCACTGACGTTTACGTACACACATATATTGTTGATTGTTACTCTCGAGAATCTTCTAGAACTTTAGAGAATAGGCTGGAGTTATCGCAATACATATTTAACAGTATAAGTTATGCACATTTCTAAATATAAATCTAATTTAAACAAACATCTATATTAAAATAAATGTATAACAATAAATCCGTCACATTCAAGAGCAACTTTTTAAAACTTCAAAGTCTACTAAGCACAATCACTCTAGCCCCGATGAAAGAGTCGTTTAATCTAGCAGTTCTTTTTCAGATGCTTCAATGTCTTTCTTATTCACTCATGCCCAGAACAGAGATGGAAAACTCGTAACCTGTTCAACCATCAACTGGACACTCCGTAATGAAATAAAAGCACGGTCAAGTGTTAACTGAAATGTTTGTGAATGATTGATACTCACAGTTTTCTAAACTCGTGCATTGCAAGTAATATCGTTTAAATCATAAACTTAAAACTGCCGGTGGCTATTTCCTGCTGAAGAAGCATTGATAGCAAAGATAAAAAGTAGGATAGTCAAATTAAGTTACATATTTTTAAGTTCGTATAAGTATTTATAAAGAAGAATAGATATCAAACCTGTTTTAATGTACTTTTGCTTAGTTTTCAACTTATACTATTCTTATTAATATTAATGTTTTTAAACTATCTAAAGGACTAATTATATATATATTACTTTCCAGCATAACATGGTAAAATGTAAAATAAAGAAAACGTCATTATTAAAACGAAACGAGTTTCTTGTTGACGATCATCTCTTAAGATTTATTGTAGACATCTCTACGTAACGAGTTTCCTTTGGCGATTACCTGTTAAGATTTACTATGGATGTTTTACGAAACGAGTTTCTTGTTGACGATCGTCTCTTAAGCTTTATTGTAGACATCTCTACGTAACGAGTTTCCTTTGGCGATTACCTGTTAAGATTTACTATGGATGTTTTACGAAACGAGTTTCTTGTTGACGATCGTCTCTTAAGATTTATTGTAGACATCTCTACGTAACGAGTTTCCTTTGGCAATTACCTGTTAAGATTTATTATGGATGTTTTACGAAACGAGTTTCTTGTTGACGATCGTCTCTTAAGCTTTATTGTAGACATTTCTACGTAATGAGTTTCTTTTGGCGATGATCTGTTAAGATTTATTATGGATGTTTTACCAAACGAGTTTCTTGTTGGCGATCGTCTCTTAAGCTTTATTGCAGAAATTTCTAAGTAACGAGTTGTTGTTTTTTGGCGATGATCTGTTAAGATTTATTATGGACGTTTTTACGAAACGAATTTCTTGTTGGCGACTGTCGCTTAAGATTTAAAAAACATCCATAGTAAATCTTAACAGGTAATCGCCAAGGAAACTCGTTACGTAGAGATGTCTAAAATAAATCTTAAGAGATGATCGTCAACAAGAAACTCGTTTCGTTGCGTAAACACAGCTATTGTAAATCTTAAGAAACGATTGCCGACAAGTCATTTCGTAGAAACACCTACTATAAATTTTAAGTAGGATATAAACTAATAAGTAATTAGTATCTTGTAATAAAAGTATTACAGTTTTATTACGTGGTCGTATAGGCTACTAACATTTGTCTTCGGATATTGATTATTTTTCGTATTTCGTGCTGTTCTCTTGTGTTCAGTAAAACAAGTTTCGTCTCCGTCCGTGAGATTATGATAAATCATTACATTTAAATATTTAACAACCCCTGCTTTACCGTCAAGTAAACGAAACAACAGCTTGTGACACGCCTTCAGGGAAATTGTAGCTTGATACTAAAGCAGAGCAGAAACTGGCACAGTGAAAGACTTGCAACTGAAACATTTTAAAAA